CCCCCCCCCCCCCCCCCCCCCTCCTCCTCCTCCTCCTCCTCCTCCTGCTGATATTCTGAAAGCATAACTCGGGGGCAGAGGCAAGGTCAGCCACCGAGCTTCTGTGGCAGACGGATGAGATTCAGCTTGGCCCTGGTAATTGCGGGAGAGAGCCATGTTTCATCTTCCGTCCATCTATCACCGCTGTCTCTAAATACTGTATAAGTGCTGCTCTCTGAAGGATGGGGCCCTCGCGCGCCCATCTTCGCCATTATGATGCCATTCAGCCCCGGGCTTCATTGTTCTGCGTCCGGACCGAGTCTGTGCAGTCACGGAGCAGAGACGTTTTCCCCTCTTCCGGTTGAATCGGGCGATGCAGACGCACTCCGATTTGAATAACATCCGAGGCAACAGCGACCACTTTTGACAGACGCACGGACCCGCTGCGCTTTAATTTCAGCAATCAGTCTCTTTCATTCCTGGCGGAGCTGCGAAATCAAAGTGGAAGCGCAGTTCAAACGGCCAGGGGCTAACGCGCGCTAATCTTCGACTCGGAGGCAGGGTTTTTTGAAGTCTCTCTCTCTCTTCCTCTCTCTGTGTGAGTCAGAGAGATTGCGAGATGAGATCGGAGGCCCCTGGCGTCCCTGAAAACTTCCCGTCTGTCCTCTGCGCCGACGCAGGAGGACGCGACCACTCATCACTCCCCCGTCAAATACAAAGTAAATAATCGAATAGAAAGCTTTTTCTTTTTTAATCACAATTTCAAAAGTCATGTTGTTCACTTGACTCTTTTCCTCCCCCAGCGCTCAGAAGCAAAGCTTTTGGGGGAAAGATTATCTTCCCGCTGTCCTCCTCTGTAATTCTCTCTGTAAACAGTTCTGGTGGAATAAGCTTACTCTCAGATGCTCGCTGACATTACCTGCTGCGTGGGAGATGATTACAGAGCACTATAGGGCTAAACAGCCCCGGGTGATGCTGAGACGGGGAACTTCATGACATCCTGTTTTCATGGTGTGTGTGTGTGTGTGTGTGTGTGTGTGTGTGTGTGTGTGTGTGTGTGTGTGTGTGTGTGTGTGTGTGTGTGTGTGTGTGTGTGTGTGTGTGCGCGCGTGTAGGAAGGAGGGCCGCAAAACTCGTGGAACAAAGGGCGTCCGCTTTCAGGTGCTTAGCGGTCTTGTGCAACTGTCACCATAACTCATTAGTGCTTTTCTCTAAAGGCATCAGAAGGATCGGAGGCTCAGAGAAACACGAGGAGGAGATATGTGCCGTCAGAATCCAGACGTGACCTACATTTTGCGGCCTCGTGCTCGCGGACCTTCTCCCACAACTTGTCTCATGTGTGGCTTGCAGGGATTTTAATTTCAGATTAGTCAGTGTTCGAGTGCTTTTTATGCCGTCTTCCTGGCCTCATTATCTGAGTGGGAAGTGTCGCTGCCTTTAGCGAGGCTATTGCCGGACGTAAAGGGAACTTTAAGAAGCCATTTCCCCGCCCGATATTGGAAGGTTAGTGGTTATCGGTAATTGCAGAGGCGGAGCAGACGTCAAGAATTTTCTTCTTTGCCTGCAACAAACGAGTCCATCCCCAAAGATGATTGAAGGTGGAGGAGTGAGGAGGCGATTTTCTTTGAGATCTGCTTCCCGAGTGCCACCTCGGATTTCTCACTACCTTTTTTTTCCCCAGCGCCCTCTGGGGCATGCTGACTAGGTGTTTAGTGCTTTGTGATTAACCTCAAGTCATTGGCCGTACGGGCAGGGCTCGCCACTCGCCGAGCTCGCTCCCCCAATTATTGCTCTTTAAGGAGAGTGTGTCCGATTTATGGCCAGCGAGAGGAGAGTAGCATCCCAACAATTACGTCCGGGCGCTGGAATTAAATTGACAATTTGTGATCTTAATCGCCTTAACGCTGCTGCATCCAGGGAGGAGGCCCAATCAGCCGGGCCGAGCCTCGGAGGAAATCAATTCACGGACTCTCTTGTCTTTCTTTCCCCCCTCTCTCTCTTTCTTTCTCTCTCTCTCTATCCTTTTTCTGTCTTTCCTCGCTATCTCCTCGTCCACCTATTTCTCACTTTGTCTCTCGCAGGTTGATCGCTATATTCTGGAACTCCCTCGGACTCACTCCATTTCACTCTCTTTTCTACACTCAGGGCTTTGTTTCTCATCAGTGGCCCTCTCTCCTTCTCTTCTCTTCAACACGCTGACATCTTACTTGGCAGAGATTTCCATTATCGGAGGAGTGGAACCATTTACCAGGGAATGGGGCTTCAGCCATCTACTATGGCTGACTGAAGGCTCATCTCTCTATTGGATGCTCAGCCATCCCCCCCACCACTCCCAGCCCAAATTAGACCGATGACAAGTCTGAGCAGATGTTCGCACAGGGGTCCATGTCCTTTTACTGGCATCCACATCCATATGGCTTCCTCTGTCCACAGCCAAATCAAAAGTTACACGTTTTTTTATGCTAAATGTTGCTAATCAAGTTGATATTGCTCTTGATTTGATCACCAAGCAGATTTCATTCTTGTATTCAGTATCGACGTGATTTGCTAAACATCTCAAAGAGGCTGTTTTTGATTTCAACATCAATTACTTTGTGATCATACGATACAGTTACTCCATATAGTACCCCCTCAATGTAGGCCGGATTCTTAGCTGATCTTCATAGCACCTTCGACTATATTTTTACCCCCGGAGGGCTTTTGGTTTTACTTTAAGACATATTACACTACCAAGAAATATCATAGATATACAGCACAGTAAAGGGAGTGGAGATATCGTGAAGTGGAATAGAAGTCAGTATATAGAAGACCATCCACCAGTCCACTACATCCTCCCCAGGAAAATTCCTCCAGTCAGTGTTTTAAGATAGAAAAAAACTACTAGATATCACCATAAAGATAATAATCTTTAATAATAAGTTTTTTCAAAAATAGTATGTTTAAATATGCATAGGAGGCATTATCTAATGCTAACGTTTGGTGAATTTAGGAGAAATCTACAGACGCAAATAGACAAAGAAGTAAAACAAACCCGTGAATGTGTATTTTGGACGTTTCCTTTCCACTAGTCTGAAAGAAGACATCTCAAAATGGACCAGTGCATAAAAATCTGTCTTTCTGCCTGGGATGTCTCCCCTTAAAGAAACGTAACCTCGACTCAGCCATTTTCAACACCTCCAGGCCTGTATCTAAGCCGCCTTTTATCTCTAAGATTTTTGAAGTTCCTGGCTCTAAAGAAAGTTGCTCATGGAAAGCAAAAAAAAAATGTTTCGTGAGAATGGCAGTCGGGCTTCTTTAAGGACCACAGCACTGAAACTATTTGATTTAAATGATCTCCGGATGAATCCAGAACATACAACATTAGGTCAGAAATGGTCCCACATTTTTTTTTTTACCCGGCTCCAAATAAGGAGCTGGTTCCCTTCATGGCTGTGCTCTCATCCAACCTGTCAAGTAAAAAGACTGGCTTTGGTGTGTTTAATGGCTCAATTCTAAGTCAGACAGTGGGACAGTCGTCTTTGTCTGACAGACTGGCAATCACTTCCACACTGACGATATTCAGCCAATCCTTCCAGTAAAATGTTTTTACTTAAATATATATTAATACCATCAGACTTTCTACAGCTTATCTGTGACAATAGAGAAGCTGTTTTAATTGCCTGGACAGAAGTGAATTTGACAGTCCGCCGAACAAATACTATAACATCCGCCCATTAATTGAAACATTTTACTGTAATTGCGCTTTTTGATCCAAGTTTGAGCGGTATTCCAGTAATCACGTCTTTTTAAAATACAAATTTAAACATTAAATTCCTGCCAGTCAGTCTGGCAATCCTCTCATGCTGATTACCGCAACGCTATCGAGGCGCAACTCAGGTCTGGCCCCCCCCCCCCCCCCCCCGTGCTTGATGTTTTTCTGTTCAGGACTAAGAGACGACGTCACTCCGAATGATGTTGTCTTTTGGAATTGATGAGGCTGCTCAACGCCTCGCTTACAGATTAAACGTCGGGGCTTTTTACCTTCTACGAGCCTCTGATCCTCAGATACAGTCGGGCTCCTCTTGGCTGCTTCTCAAGTCTGGGCTAAAGATGAAAGGTGACCGGGTTTTTGCTGTCAGGCCCCCCCGGGGTGCTCGAGAGAGAGAGAGAGAGAGAGAGAGAGAGAGA